ACAGATGTCTGTTTTCTGGAGAATTGTTTTGCTGATAGATATGGAAGTAATGGTTTCGATTGGCAATTGCAGCAGCACAATGTGAGGAAAACCATGGAGAAGAGTGAGGTGTGACCTAAAATCGTTGAGAGGGAATAAAGGATTCCATGCTAGCTTAAATCCACGAAGTTATGTAAGAAGCACATTTGTCAACAGGAAGACTAAAGATACCCAAGGGTTATCACTAAGAAAATCACCGAAAGAGTCCCAGTCAGCTTTAAGGTAGTTGTAAGATGTACGATGATAGGGGAGTCTGATGATATTCACCTAAGGGTGAATGTGGAGAAACTGAGCACTGATTAGGATCAGAAACAAGACACAAGTCAAGTAGAGAAGGTAAATGATTCTGGAAAGCGAGTTGGAAAGTTGACTATATGAGTTAGGGATTGAGAAAGGCAAAAGCTGTGGGCTTTAATGCCTGCAGAGTCACTGACACTAGAGCCAAGTCATTCAGTGTGATGAACATTAAAGTCACCAACAAAAACAATGTTGGCTGATGGATAAAGAGAGAGGGCTTGGTCAATATGATCAGAAATAACATCAAGAAGAGTGCAGTCTTGAGATGAAGGAGAGCAATATAGAACAAAGAGAAAGGTGATAGAGTGAAGTGGTGCTATTTGAAAGCACATAAAAGAGTAGTCTGTGGATTCAAACCTAGTTTCCCGAAAAATGGTTGAATTCTTACGAATGTAAATGCCCAGGCCAAGCATGTGACTATTGGAGTCTTTACGAATTAAAGCAAGATAACCATCAACACCAAGATCACAAGATGAGACAGCTGAACTCAAATTAGTCTCACAAATCAGGCCTTCTCAAGAGACGCATGCGGTCGCATGCCTTGAATGACCACGCATATATATTTTTTGTTGATAACATGGCCACAATTTTTTTTGCATTTATTAAAAATGACGCATCTTAAAAACGCGCTGAAAAAACAAAATTAATTGCTCATCTTTTTTTAATTATTATTAATTATTCATTATTATAGTTATTAATGAGAAAATAGAAACATTAAAATAACATATATAGGCATTTCCATTTTTAACTTACATTACACGCGCAATAACTTTACCAAATATTAGCTTATTTAAACTTTTAAATCAAACTTTTAGCAATTTTGTATAAAAGCTGTTAGTCTAATAAATAAAATAAGCTTAAAAGTTTTGTGTTCGGCCCGAAAGAAAGCAAACTTATTACTAAAAATGCCACTTGCACTGATGTTACACGGAAAACAAGGTAAAAAAACAAATTCAACTTATAGGTCTCAATTTTGCGAATCAGTAAATCAGTTTGTATAGAAACTTTTACAAAATGCAAATAATTCTATACCAATTTAAAATTTTTATAAAAACTCTTTTAAAATAAACTTGTTTTTTTGATACTGTATTTTTTACTTAAATTACATCACTTACATTATCAAGTGGTTATCATGATTTTTTTTTTATCTATTATTAAGAGTTAGAGTTACGTAACAAAAGAATTGCATAAGTATTGAACTCATTCATTAAAAATAAACAAACAAAAAAAAAACAATAAAATAAATAATTTTAATACATATGGAAAAAAAAAAAATTTTTTTTTAATTCTCTTTATATAAAAAGTTTCAGTTAAAACCTTGTCAAGCCAACAGGAAGAAATAATAGTTACTTAATAACGTAATTCATTTAGTAAATAAAAACTTAACGAAAAATCACCAGAATTTTATTAAATGCATGAAAACAAATAAAAATATATATATTTATATATTATTTTTATCTTTTTATTTTATCATTAATTACAAATATATATATGTGCATTATTGTTAGGTTTTAATTTTCTCATAAATAATTGTAATAATAAATTATTATTAATAAAAAAAAACCAATAAGATGATTAGTTTGATTTTTCAGCGCGTTTTTAAAATTGGTCATTTTTAATAAATGCAAAAAAAATCGTGCCCATGTTATCAACAAAAAAATATATATGCGTGGTCATTCAAGGCGTGCAATCACACGCGTCTCCTGAGAAGGCCTGCAAATAACAAGTAGGTCTGGTAAACTTTGCAAGTGATAAGATTCAACAGAAAAAAAGTTACTTCGAAGACCATGAGTATTAGTGAATGATAGGCTTAGCGAATTGGTGATAACTGGATTGGTGATTGACTGTGGTTTTTTGTGTTTTATAGTTTTTGTTACTTTATTCATTTTTAAATTTGGTAAAGGACTTGAAAAGTAAAGCAATTGCCTCATTACTACTTATAAACCCTAGGCTGTAACAAAGGGCTCCGATGTGGCCTTGGCAATGCACACCAAAAGTACAAACAGAGACACCATCCATATGCATAATGACACTGTTAGTACTTTGATATTTTACAGTTGTTAATGGAATCAGCCTCACTGACAGTGACCACAGCTACCACAGAGTTCAGGAAACCTGATTACCAGCCTGCCTCAGAACCATAAAACTGAGTTTTAGAGCTGTACCCTCATTAGGAGATAATAGAATGAGTCGCCTAGTCATAAAAACAAAGACACAAGCAAAACCCATGCATCGAGTCAAGAAGATCCAGGATTCAACATTCTAAACTGGAAACAATTTATTAAAAATACATCTGCGCCAGCCTAATAGATGGTGAAGGGGTGCACAGCTGGTCAACAGATAGAATCTGTTAACCCCTTAAGTCTTTGCCTAGGAGGTCTTCTACAATTATATCAGTAATACTGGTAGAAGATATAATTTATTCAAGTGAAATGCCTAATACTTTTTTTTTTTAATTGAAAAAGTTGGTTAAACGCGTTTAAACCAAAAAAACCATGATTTTTAAAAACAAAAAACCATGGCTTTTGTTTTTTTTAAGAATGTTTTTTTTTTTCAACCCTGCTTTTGATGGATCTAACAGATATAGACGTGAAACTCTAAAACCAGATTCTGTATTTTTTTTTGTTTAGTATAACCCAAGTTAGTCTCAGTAAAGTTGGAAAATTACCTTTGTCAATCAATCTATAGAGAGATTTTCAGAAGAAATTGTGCAAGAATATATATAAGCTAGCTGCTGTGACCATTCCCTATAGTGCTATATACACATCTTTTCTAAAGCTTTAACAACTGTTTGAAAATTGTGTGACCATATCTTTTGTGTATATATTCTAATGAGAGTATTGTGTATTCCTTTTCACTCAAAGATGAGACTATTGATAGGAATGTTATTCATTGATGAGCTGTATGTAGTGAAAGTAGTGATAGGAATGTTTTACATTGATGGAGATATAGTGATAGGAATGTTATACATTGATGCAGCTGTATGTATTGAAGCACCTGCTAGAATTTCTGCAACAGCTTTTTTAATATCTTCTGAAGGCATAATTAAGCAGAAGTTTTTTTCTATTTTTTATTTACATTTTTTATAATGATGGACCATTATGAAAACTAAATTCAGAAAAAATAAATCATCTAAAGTGCATTTTTAAACACAATCAATCACGTTATAAAAGTGATAAAATAAAAGTTAAAAAGCAAAAAGAAACCAAGTAAAACAATGTTTATTAGTAAAAATTTAACATAAGTAAATTATTTGTTTGACTCGTTTTTTTTCTCAACAACAACAGAATGAAATCAAAAAATTATTTAAGCAGAAACCACAATTATTATATTGTAAAAATTATTAACAAAAAAATACAATAATATGTTTGTATTATAGCGATTATAAACAGAACAATTGTAATTTAAAAAGTTTTTTTAAATTGCAATAGTTACAGGTAATTTTTTTTTGAAAACTCACAAGCTTGTGGGTTAGTTTTGAAAAAAAAAACTTTTTAAAGGCATATAAAACTTTTAAAGCATTAAAAGTAACATAACGTAAAACATAAAAAAAGTACTTTTAAAAGTTTAAGGTACTTAAGCAATCGAATAATTTGTTATAGTACCTTTTAACCAATCGAGACATGGCGTAATGTAAAACATTTAAGAATTGAAGCATAATTAAAATGTCACAAATATAAATTTTACGCCTTAATAAAATATTTTATGCCTTAATAAAAATTAAGCCTTTTTTTTTTATAACTCTTTAATATGTAACCAATTAGACGTAATGTAGCACTACAAAAATAAATATTTAAGACGTTATTTAGTTATGTCCCAAATCTAGATTCAATTATATTATGTTATGTCTTGATTGGTTACACTTTAAAAAGTTAAAAAAATAAAAAAACAATTGAAGTGAAAAGTTGCAAAATGAAGCTTTATTTTTTTATATGACAAAGTAACCAATTAAGATGAAACTTTTTTATTTATTAAAAAATGGTTATTAGCAATGCGGCATTGATAAACGAAATTTACTACGTTATCAAGTTTATTTACTTAATATTTAATGAAAAAATGTCAGTAGACACTAGTCGAGTCTACTGGTCCACTAGTTCAGTTGAGTTCAGCTTCTTTAATTGTGGTTACAATCCTCTCTCAACTCTATAACTCTGAAATATGAAACTTGAGCATTTAAATACTGTTAATTTGTAGGTTTATGTGAGAACTAAAACTAAAAATTAATTAACAGTTTTTAACAAAGATTCAAAATGATTGATTATTGATCTCTATTTTAGTTTTACATTCAGCTTTATCTCTTATTTGGATTGGTCGAAATAACTATTCTTAAAGATAGGTAGGGAAATAGGAATGGTAATAAAAGAAAACTGAGAAACTGATAAATGTTGTCTAGTTTATGTCTATTTTAATATGACTTCATAACATTTGCAGAAATATAGAACCACATACCTATAAATTACAAATAAAAAAAAACATACATTTTCAAATATTTGAGTTTTTCGCACAAAAATAGTCTGAAATTAGTATTAAGATATTTGTAGTTTTAAAGTCCTTTACACATGTTATAACCTCTAAGTCCAGGTTTTTCAAAGTAACGAGGTGAAGTTACAAAAACAAAATTATATTTTTTAACTTTTTAATTTTTAAACCTTATTAAATATTAGGTTCTGTATGATCCAACTTGGAAAAAATGTTTGGACTCATTTCTACTATACGCTCCAAGGTATTTTATTAATTTATTATTTTTTAATAACTTAAAGTAGATTCCAAAGTCATCAAGCAAGTTGATTTTCTCAGACATGCTGTGTTATTCAAAAAAAAAAGTAATTGTCAAACATGATTGAAACAGGATGAAAAGTAATAATATGATTTATTACTATTATAATAATGTATTAGTTGTATATATGAGTTCTTTATTTCAATTATAAATGCTAAAACCTTTGCTTTAAGGCTTCACTACATGGTTTAAAATTAGTGAAAAAGACCAAATTGAACACGTAAAGGTTGCCCTTAGTTACAATAATTTTCACTTTTTTTTTTTAAACTCTTTTTTACACCCTGCAGATTTCAGGGCGTGAAACATGCAGGGTGTGAAAAACTTTTTTACACCCAGCAGGTTTCTAAAAATTCTATTATTGTTATCAGGTGACATAGAAACATGGCCCCTGGCTAATATTTTTAAACCAAAGTAACATAGAAATGGAAAATTTTGAAAACATAGGATATTAAAAAGGCTTGTAATGCTTTCATTCAAAAATTTGTAGTCTGTTGAACAATTAATCAAACATTGTCTGTTTAACAGCAACAAAAACATTTACATATTTTGATTTACTGAAACCCACATAATAAAATAAGCAAAAGCGATCTTAGTGAACTATATCATATTGAGGGCTATACATTTCTAAACAACGCACATCAAATGGACATGGCAGAGGTGTTGCAGTCTACATATCCAATAATTTATGCTGGGTGAGACATAATGATCTACAAACCAACGAAATAGTGAGCTTTTTTTTTAAATAATTTTTCCAAATACAAAGAGCATATTATTCTGTGTCCTGTATCGCCCACCGAAACTAAATCTTCGACAAGTATAACATTTATTATTAACTCAATTCCAACCTTTGAAAAAAATTATCTATCTTTTGTGAACATTTCTGTAATTCAGTATCTTTTTTAAAGAAATACACTTTTCTTTTAAAAGACTGGGTATAGGTTATCATATTAGGAACCAACTCGTACTTACAGATCTTTTAAATTTATACCTGTAACAGTTGATCAAATAGAAAAAGAATTAAGTGGGTTAAAAACAAAAAGTCTACTGGCCTAGATATTATATCACCATAAAAACTAAAAGACACAGCTAACGTCTTGTCTAAACTACTTACTCACATAATAAACTTGTCTTGGAAGTCATCAGCCTATCCAACTGATTGGAAATGCTCGAGACTTCTCCCAATTTACAAATCAAAGTCCGACAATGACATTCAAAACTACGACCTATATCTGTAATACTATATCAGAAATTATCAAATGAGTTTTACACATCCAATTATCAAATTATTTAGAGGAAACCAGTTTGATAAATGACACTCAGTTTGGTTTTCAACGTAAGCGATCAACAAAACTAGCTGCAACGGTGTTAGTAGATAACATAAACTAAAAAGTTGATGAAGTTAAAATAGTTTGGGCAGTATTTTTTGATTTGAGTAAAGCCTTTGACACTTTAAATCAGAGAATACTAATCAACAAGCTTAACAGTGATTGTGTTCGTGATACTGAACTCTGCTGGTTTAAAGATTACCTATTTAACAGATCTCAAACTGTTTGTTTTCAAAACACAATATCTGAAACAGAAAAATTTGTATGTAGTAAAAAGTTGTATGTACCTCAAAGATCAATATTTTTTATATTTTGTTATTTACCTTAATGACCTTGTACCTTGTTTGAAATATTCAAATTCTGTTATTTATGCTGATGACACAGTTATATACGTTCCTGTAAAAGATATATTTATTATAGAATCGCGTCTTCCGATATGGAAGAAATCTCAAAATGGTGTATAAAAAACAATCTAATACTCTGATTTGAACAACTTTGTTGAATAAATTTGAATAGAGTTGTTCTATCAGACAGCACCTTTTTACATTGATTTTTTGCAATAATATTAAAGAGTTCTCAAGAGAGTTATTATTCGAAAAAGATAAAAAGGTGATTACCATTAGATATAGCAGGTGCACAAAATGGTGAAGACCATGGAATAGAATGAGGCTTAACTTGAAACTGTCAAAAAGGAGTAAAGGGCTCTGTACCTAAACTGAATCCAGGAGCTAACCTAGCCATATGCGTTTATCAACAGAAAAACAAAAGACTTCAGCCCACAAATTATCACTAAGAAAACCACGTAAAGAAACCCATTTAGCTTTAGGCTAGTAATAAGTAGTATAATGAAGCGTCTGAAGAAGATAAAATGAGATATTATATTTATAGAGATTATTGCATGGTCAGAACTACAAAATGAGAACAAGGAAAAACTGAACACAAGCTAAGGTCAGAGGCATGGCACATTAGAGTTTTTGTGAATCAAACAGTAGTAGCCATCAATACTGAGATTTGAAGAAGAAACAGCTGAATTCAAGTTATTTTTACAAAGAGCCAGCAAGTTCAGTGATTTTTGGACAAAGGAAAAATTCAACTGATGGAAAATTACAAGACAGGTAACAATGTAACACAGGTTTACATCTATGCCACTAGACATTTCAGATATTTGATAGTATTGATAACAGAAAATACATTTCTTCTAGCCTTTACTTAGATAATGTGTCTTACAAGGCAGTAGAACATGGAGCAGGTTGCACTGGGTCACATGTTACCAGTAGCAGGGTGATCATAATGATTATACCTCTGTTCTGACATTTGCATGTATTTCAGCATATGTATACACTAAAGTTCTCATTAAGGAGATGTCTGAGTAATGAATAAAATGTTAACTTCTTATAACCATCAAGTTTGTCTGTTCAAAAAGTATGGTAAATTTTAAAGACATCAGCAGAATTCTAACAAAATTAACATAATTTTTAATTTTTTTAAAGTATACAGATGTAGCTTTTACTCATTATAAATAATGAGTAAAAGCTACATCTTCAATATTCTGTAAAAGTTTAGCGATGATTTTTTTTAACCACATTTTTTTCTTTGACTAATTAGAGCGGGGCATATGGGGGCACTTAAAAAACAAATGCTAGTTGCGGACAAACTAATCATAGCTAACACTGTTTTTTATAAACTTCATAAAATTCATTGATATAAGTAAACAATAAAAAAAAAAAAAAACTTCTTAAAATAAAAATTGCTAAAAATATGACAACCAAAGTGACAAAGTTCTAGACTTAGCAGTTAGTCAGTAATTGTAAAGCTTTAAAAATGATAAAAAATGAAGGCTATCTATCATTTAAACATGTTCAAACATAATACTCTTGAAAAAGTAACATACCTTTATAAACTTTATACCCATGCACCCATCCACCACACACACAAAAAAAAGACTTGAATAAAAAAAACTTTTTGTGTTTTATTATAAAATACTTCTACTCTATCCTATCATCATTTGTGTATTATTAAATTAGTAACTACACAAAAAATATTCTGAAACTATTCGGCAACATTTTTGATAAGCTGGCTTAGCAATATGCCAATGTAGAGTAAACTTAAATATGCCATATGTATCAGCAGCTTTTTTAGTTCTAAGTTATTTTCTATTCACAGCTAAAACTGCATTTTCTCCCATTTTTGATGATAGATCTTTTTTATATAATTTCTTACTATCGTTGTTTCTTATGTTAATTAATTTTATTTGTTGTTTACATTGAGCACTATTAATAATCAAGTTAAGTTACAAAAATTAATATCTTTCTAAATTTTTTTTTGATATTTAATATTGCTTTTCTAAATAAGGAAAACAATATTTTAAATTAAAAATAAAATCATCAAACTGTAAATAGCATTACAAAATGGTAGTAATACAGTCAATTATATAAATAATTTGATGTCCCTATATGCCCCATAAAAGCCATTTTTCTGAAATTAATACTATTCAAAAAGTTTAGTTATAGATATTTTTTTAAAACCAGATTATAAAAAAGGATAAAAAATACTGCCTGAAAAATATAAATTTTTTGTAAATAAAGTAAATTAACAATAGTTCAAAATGAATCATTTGTTGTTGTATTGCTTAAGAAAATATGCAATTTTAAAATGTTCTATCAAAAATTTTTTAGCTGAGATATAAGGCTTCTGACTTAACTGTCCGGCTATGCCCCACTATCCTGATATGCCCAGCTCTTCTCTAAGCTGAAAATTTTACCAAGGCTGCTTGAACCCTTAAAATATTTGTCATAAACTTTCAATATCTATTTTAAAAAAAAGTTGAAATGTTTTCATGCATAAATTTGAAATGGATTTGCAAAATAGTTTATTACTTATCTGATTTGTGTGAAGTCATAGAACTGATCATTCATCATTCGTCGTAGAAACGATCAGTCGTAGAACTGATCATTCATCATTCGTCGTAGAAACGATCAGTCGTAGAACTGATCATTCATCATTCGTCGTAGAAACGATCAGTCGTAGAACTGATCATTCATCATTCGTCATAGAAATGATCAGTCGTAGAACTGATCATTCGTCGTAGAAACGATCAGTCGTAGAACTGATCAAAAATACAAATCACTAAGTACTGCGTAAAACATTGAGCAAAACATGCAACTGCATAAATTCACTTTTATGTTTTGCACACTAAATAGATACTCCAAGACTAGGCCTGGGTCTAGATGCATATTATCAAAGGTAAGGGATCAATAGATAAATAATGAAATAAAATCATTTTATAGTTTATCCATTTCAAAGTCCTTACTAAAACCATGCAGGGATTTTGGATTTTCAGTTGGTAGATTGAATACTGACAAGTAAACATAATTTGCTTAAAATATAATGAAGCTTTGGTATACAGATTAAGTTGCGGGTTAAATGTTTCTGTGTGTTGTATGTTTAAATCATGTTCTACTAAATAATAAGTTTATTTTACTGTTAAATTTCTTGTTTTAATGTCTTAAAATTTTAATTTAAACCTGTTTCAAGATTTTAATTATATATTTTGCACAACAATATTTCAATATTTATGACTTGAGTTAAAGTATATTTTGAAGTGGGAAAATTTTGTTTTATTGCTAGCAGAGCTGTATGTTAGCAAACCTTTGTGTTTGCATTAATTGCTTAATCGTAAAAAAAGAAAAAAACTGTCAAAAAAAACTATACTTTAAAACTATGAAAAAAGTATGATAATTTTCAAACTTTTGCATACTGTTATGTATATCTAATGTTATAAATTATTTTCTTTAGAAGTTATGATTTGCGTAACTTACCAGAAAAGTCTAAATCAGCATTCTCTAGCATCAGCAAATTGTTTCTCCTTGTTATTAAAAGAATGAGCGAAAACTCAGTAAGTTTATAATATATATCTTAAATGTTTTAAAAGAATATTTAAATGTTTGGAATTAAAATGTTTCTTTATTTAAATTGGAATTAAAATGTTTCTTTATTTGAAAGAACCTAATTAAAAAATATATATGTAAAAATATGGGTCTTGATTCCACACCAACCATTTCTATACTTATTCCTTATTTCAATACTTGATCAGTAAAAAAAAAATTATAAAAAATATTTAGACAGAAAAACTATACATATACCTTTAAAATTATGAGGAAAAAAAAATTTATAATATAATTAATTTTAAAATTTTTTATAGGCATTGGTAGCCGTTACGCAAACTATTATTAGCGGTTTGGATATTAGTACCAGTCTAAATAATAGCTTGAATACCACAGCGTTGCATTTTAGTAACCCAGCGAACAAATCAATTCAGTCACCAAGGCGTATTGTTTGAGAAATCTTTTAAACTGTAAAACTTGATGAATGTCTTAAAAATAGATAATTTGAAGTTTACATAAGTTAGATATTTTCAATCACATTTGTTCACATTTTCTTATAAAAAAAAGTGCTGCAACTCTTTCTTGCCATTGTTGCTATGGCTGTCAAAAGTTCTGTGTTGCCACTAGCACTACTACTAACACTACTATTAACTTCAGCATTAATATAAAGAGATAAAAACTGCAAAATGATCCTTTTATCTAAAATCTATATACAAACCTTATATTTCTGTTGTAAACAAAACAATTAAAATAAAAATGGTAAAAGGAATGATTTTTTTAAATCATTTTATTTATTCCAAATAAAATAATTAAATAAAATCTGCAAATTTAATGCTTTATTTAAATTACTAATAAAATGATAAAGTGCTGATTTCATTTTTCTAGTTTTTATGCAAGTATCAACCTTTGATATTTTGTTAATTTGTCAATATTAAAATATTCCCACATTCTATTATATCTAAATATTCCCACATTCATTGATTGTTGAAGTTTTCTGTTGTTAAAAAACAGTTTTAGGTTGGTAATTTTTGCCAACCGTATTTTTCCTGATTCTGTGGGCTGATATATATATATATATATATATATATATATATATATATATATATATATATATATATATATATATATATATATATATATATATATATATATATATATATATAGTGCCGGTTTTAGCAATACCGTGCCGTGGGCGAGATATCTACGGCGCCTCTAACTCAATACAACCTCATAGAAAAAAAAGACAAAGAGTATAGTTAAAAGATTAGTAAAATTAATAACTATTTATTATGAAGAAAAAACTAATGAAACTTTGGAGTTCATTGCACAACATACTTTCATTTATATCTGACTTAGATTCCACAATTAATTTCAGTTTGAGATTACCACAAAGTTCGATAAGGTCAGTTATTTCCGGAATCTGTTTTATTTTGTACAAAAAATTGATTTTGAATACATATGATCAAATCTTTTATTGAATGAGTCCAAAAGATAGTTAAAAAATTTGACTTAAAATTTTTTTGGGGGGGAAGTTATAGCTCATCGCGGACAGTCTCTTCAACTTGACACTTAAATATTTTAACTCTTGATGTGGCTTTAAACACAGGTTCGATTTGTAGTTCCTCAGTAAATTCCTTTGCTGTTAAAAGAAAGTGAGGCATTTTTTCAACATTTCTGTGCATTTACAAAGAGCCATGTCTGTTGATTGTAGAGATTTACTAACAACACTTGAAAAAGTATGTTATACCAAACAACCAACGAAACTGAAAAGTGAAATCTTTTAACTGTTCAGCTAAAGTAGTCTAGAGTAGAGTAGTCAGCTATGAGTAGCCTCATGAGAGACTTGAACATCAATCTTTTGATTTTCAATAGCCAAAGTATTTAAAGCATCATAGATGGTACTAATTTAATAACGAACTATTTTAACACTGCTTGTTCTTGCTTTCAAACGTGTGTCACTGAGTTTTTTAATGTTATATAATCCCAAATGATCGGTTAAAATTTTCCATCGATGAACAGAAGCTGAAAACAAGTGAACAACCTCTAAAGTACTCCAAATAAAGTGACTGATTTTAAAGACGACTTAGTGGCATCACATAGTACAAGATTATGTAGCTATGATGGGCACACGGTACATAAACAGCTAAGGGATTTATGTCCAAAATTCTGTGATCCCCAATATGTTTTCCTTTCATATTCGCCCTGTTGTTATTCCCCTGACCCCTACAATTGTTCAATTCCAGTCCGTATTTATTTAAAACATCTGCAATAGCTTTAGTGAGTCTTTCACCAGTCGACTCATTGACAGTTAAAAATTCAATGAAATGTTCCTTCACTAATATTTTTTTTGTTGATCTGATGATAAATCAAAATGTTGTATTATCAGTGAAAGTTACTCTAAATGAGTAAAGTCAGCTATAATTGAATAATACTTTGATTTCTTTGCATGCAATTTAATTTCTACTTTCGCTTTTTTAACCTATCAGCTCTATTAATTCATTTTTTATATCTTTTCAGCCGTCGTGGTTTGAAACATCACCCTTCATAGCTAACTGCAAGTGCTCCTGCATAACTGGATCAAATTTGGCTAATAGTTGTACTAAGCTTAAGAATTTTCCATTATTAGGCCAATATAGTTTGTTGGAAGTACCTCTGAAAGCCATATAATTTTCAGTTAATTAAAGTTCAATTTACACCCATCTAGACAAATCTTTATTCCACCCTGTAGTTTCTTTTCTAACCAAATGTTGCTCTTGGTAGTTTATCGCTTTTCCTGTTTTTAATTGTAGTTCAGTGTCGATCCATGAAAGGTAAAATTTCTTATGAGAAGTGCTATTCTCATGAATTTTAACATTTTAGACAACTGTTTCCAGTTGTTCCTATTCTTCAGTTATCCAGTTGTTCAAATCCTTCAGGTACTAAACTTGATGTTGATCTACTATCAAATGGCCGGCAAAAAAACAATAAACTCAATCCTTAAAGACGAAGTATATTATTCAATGACGTTAAATTGTTTAGTTGTTTGCAAGTTTTTTTGTGAAATTTTATTTAATTCATTTAAAGAAATGCCAGTCTGTATCATTTTTTAGGTAACTATTAATGAGAGTTTGCACTTGCCAGTGCAAACTCACATTGATAGTTACCCAAGTTTGCGCTTGTCGGTACACATTATATGATCAATAATTTTCCTATTTCGAACAAGTGGCCATATGGCTGGATCCGATATATT